CCTTTATAGGTTTATTTGCATTATTCTGATGAGCCTCACTGGCTGCACTGTTCCTCTATTCTCAGTCCTTCTACATGAGTTCTGGATGGTGCAGTCATAGAGGAGTCAGTAGCAGTGCAGCAAAAGTCAGTCATTGCAGTGCTAGGCAATATTGAAAGTGAAAGACTCTCTAAGCTAGAAAACATCAGCATAACACAAAAGAAAAGTGCAAATATAATAATTTAACTGAATGTCATTGTAAAAGGGAATCAAAATGCTGCTAAAACACTTTAAAGAACAGCAGACATCCCAACTCTCCTGGGCGTTCCGGGAGTCCGCCGCTATCAGCGGCTCCTGGCCGACCAGGAGAGGAATACTTTCTCCCGGAAAGGTTTACTCTGCTATATCTAGCAGAGTAAACATTTCTCTGCTGTCTGTTTTGTTTTTTTATTTTTATTCTGATATCAGAGCCGCCAGCCGCCGTCAGAGGAAAAAAAGAAAAAATACGGCATAGAAACGAATAGCTAGATTGCTATTGGCTATTTGAATTTGCAATAGCCAATAACAGACTAGCTATTGCACTTGCCCACTGCTGCTGTCAATCAGCAGAGGTGGACCTGATATTCTTCATCAGGTCCTCTTCTGCTGATTGACAGCAGCAGAGGGCGGGTGCAATAGCCAGCTTGCTATTGGCTATTGCAAATTCAAATAGCCAATAGCAATCTACCCATTAATTCCGGGAAGCATCAGCTTCTTTGCTATCTGCCATCATTTCAGGGGGGAGCTCTCCCTCCCCCCCCAACCCCGGAAGAGGGGGGGGGGCAGAGGGCAGCTCCCTGAAATGAGAGGGCACCTCCCTGAAACTACTTTTTTCAGGTTGGGATCCCTGGAGCAGAATACAGATAATAATTAGATATATAAATCAAGATTCTAGACACTCACTAAATGTAATTTACAATGAATTAAACTTTACTTATTTATTTACTTATTACAGGTATTTATATAGTGTTAACAATTTATGCAATACCCAGGGATGTCCCGAGGTCGGGTGTCACCCGGAGCAGATACCGGGTGACACCCCACCGTGACATCACCACGAGCATGCATGGCCATCTTGGTGATACCTGCCGGCGGCCATCTTGGTGATGGACGGCAGCAGAGAGAGGAGGGGACGTTCACCCGACGGGATAAGGTATGCCACTGGGTCCCCTCCTCTCTCCTGCAACTGTCGGGATCTCGATCTATGACTGTCAGTCATTTTGGTGTCACCCTTCCAATGGTGTCACCCGGGTCCGGGCCGCACCCCCATTGTGACGCCACTGACAACACCTTACATACTGTCCATTCACATCACTCCCTGCCCTCAAAAAGCTTACAATCTAAGGTCCCTATCTCATATACACATACAGTACATACACACAGACCGGAGCCAATTAACCTAGCAGCATTTCTTTGCAGTGTGGGAGGAAAGAGGAGTACACGGAAGAAACCCACACAAGCATGGGGAGAACATGCAGACTTCATGCAGATAGTGTCCTTCCCCGGTCCTGTACTTCTTTTTGAACTTTTAAAACTGAGTCCTGCCTAGGAAAATACCCTACAGGTTGTGTAAGCTATTTTCTTTATTATAACATAAGTCCTGGGGATAGAGCCCAGTTATTAAATGCTTTCCCCAGGTAAAAAAACAAAAACGTCCCTTGCAGTGAGGCTACCACCACATTACAAAGGTATGCTTGTTTTTGTCTAGGGTTATTGTGTAAAGGACTTTTACGTACCTGTTCACCCAGGCTCTAAGGCTGCTGCTTTTATCTGATTTTATTATGTGTGCGCAAATGTAAGAAATTGCTCCGGGCAGCAAGTGGTTAAAGGAGTCTAAATCAGCCTGGATGATCTAAACCCTCAACTTCTCTCCCTGAAGTTTATCAATAAAAGTTTCTCAGCATCATATCTCCATTCTGTACATCGCTTTTATCGGTCAACATAGAGGGTGGTAAGTGCTAATGGGTGAAGTAAATCTAAATACTAGTGGTGCACCAAAATGACATTTTCAAAAGCGAAATGAAACCGAAAATTAAAAAAACCTCCAGACTGAAACTGAAATTCTTTTTCTAACCTTTTACATTTTTTTTAAAATATTTTATTTGTATTAAAAAAATATTTATGTTTTTACTTTACTGTTGGGGCTTTGGGGAAATATTGGGGGTCTAAACAGACCCCTGTTATTTCCCTTTCAAAATAGAAAAAGAGATTGAGGACACAGAGTCCTTAATCTCTTTTTCTGTGTCCCCTGTTATCAATGAACAGGAACCCTCTATACTGAGTCTTCCTGTTCATTCATAACATGTGGATATAGTACGTTTACTATATCCACAATCATGAATGAACAGGAAGTGATGTAGAGCACTTCCCATTCATTAATAATTGGGGACACAGTAAACATTTGATATCCTCAATTATTTACAAACACTCAGCGATCACTGATTGCTGACTGCTTGTACCCACTCTCCATCCTTACTCTCTGTCACAGGAGGCTGAGGGAGCGGTGCGGGGAGGAGAGCTTGGTCTTCTCTGACAGCTGACTCCTCCCCTCCACCGCCGGCCTGAGGGGACAGCAAATGTACACTGATATACAAGCTGTACACTCACTACTTTACATTGTAGCAAAGTGTAATTTCTTCTGTGTCGTCACATGAAATTATATAATAAAATATTTACAAAAATGTGAGGGGTGTACTCACTTCTATGAGATACTGTACGTGCACGTGTGTTATATGTATATGAGGTTATTTTATATTTGTTATTTTACACTATAAATATGATTTTTTTTATTTATCATTGTGACGTACGCCTGGCCCGAACCCGCTGTACGTCAATCACACGTGACTATACTCAGTTCTGAACCGAGCGTGGCGTCATGAGGACTTGACGGTACCACTCTCAACCTCACACTGCACAGAGATTTCTCAGTTCGCAGGACAACAATCTCAGGCCAGCAGATTGAGAGCAATCGTCACTAGGGTTGGTAAACCATGAAGTTAACCCTTTACACACCAAACGTCCACTGCCACCATGTACTTTTTAACGGAAGTATGCACCGATCCCAGCCGAAGCGAGCCGAAGGATTAGTCGTACATTCAGCTAAATCCTTTGGCAGCTTTGTGAATAACCGCCTTAGTCTTTGCTGATCTGTTCATAATGCCATGGTGGTTTGTTGTGTCCACGTGTTTCGCTGTATTTGCTTCCTCAGGAGGGAGGTGTTCTTACATGGTCATATAGCACAAGAAAAACACCCTAACGAGTGAATAGACCACGCCTACATAGGGAGGGGGGACCACAGCAAATGGAAAAGCATCTTGTCCCCATGTTGATGAGGACAAGGGTCTCTTCCTCACAACCCTGGCCCGGTGGTTGTGGGGGGTCTGTTGACAGGGGGGCTCATAGGAGTCTGAATGCCCGATTTCATAAGGAATCTGGGTACACCCCTTGTGAATGAGTAAGGGGTAGTTGTTACCCTTAGGCCCCATTCACACTGAGCGATTTATCGAGCGATTTTTGCAGCGATATCGCTCATATTTCCACGCGATATCGCTCTATGTAGCTTCTCCAATCCATTTCAATGGAGCTGTTCACATCTCGTCGCTCAATATCGCTCAATATCGCTTGTAGCTCGTCGCTGGTAGCTTGTCGCTCCTACATGACCCTTTTTTCGAGCGATTTCAGCGATATTGCTCCTGATTGCATACAGCCCAAGACATGGGAGACGCGCGACAAGTCGCTCAATATCGCTCAGTATCGCTCAAAATCGCGCAATTTTCATGTCGCTCAGTGTGAATAGGGCCTTACACATTCAACAATAATAGTAAAGAAAAGTATTTAAAAAAATACTACACTTTGAAAAAGTCCTTTATTTGAAAACAAAACAAGGGTCCCCCTTAAAAATCCTACCACACCTAAAGGGTCTGGTATGACTTTGCAGGGGAACCTCACACATTTTTTTTTTTTTTTTTGACATGGGTTTTACCCTAACATTTTTACCAGATCTAAAGGGTGAATTGGGGAGGGGAACACTTTTCTTTTTAACAATATTCCATTGCTTCGGTTTGCATTCTCCCAGCTCTGGATGTTTGTTCAGCTTTGCCAAGCCATAGCATGTTTCGTTCAGCTCAGCTGCGTTCAGTTGTTTACTTCGGCTGCTGTACGTGCTATACGGAATAGCACCTACAGCAACCATTCGTTTCGTCTGAACTCTTTCTGCAGCCGAAAGGAGCTGAAGGATTAGCCGAACGTTATCCTTTTTTAAAGAAAAAGGATAACATGCTTTCGGTTTACATTTCTATTATTGCAGGATTGGATTCCAGTAAAGAGAACTGAGCTGTCCACCAATCCTAATTATAAAGCCCCTACACAGTCCCTTAAATTTTCCCACAGCTCCTTAAAGTTTATATAAGAACAAAACTTTTTTTTAGTTTTTTTATTAGTTTGGTGCAGACAAGTTAAAACCCCAAATGTGCGCACATGAAAAACAACATACACAAATGTATACAGAAAAATGTATACAAAAGTTAGAAATAGGGTACTTACACTAAAAACTTCTATTTAGCATTAAGATAAAATTATGCCCCTAAATATATTCTAAAAACATACTGACAGGGAAGCCTAATGTGTGTGCTAAAATTAGGATTTTAGGTACCGTATGTCTGGAGGTTCCTATTGTGTATATGAATGTTACACGTGTGCATGGGTGTTATAAATTTATTGGGTTATTTTCTATTTTTTATTTTACATTATTATTATTATTATTTTACTTATTATTTTACTATGGTGAGCCCATGGGGATATTGGTTTACTTCTACGGATGTGACCTTTACCCACTTCCTGTGCTTCCATACAGTATTTACAGTGAGTCAATCCCTCCCTTATCAATACTTGGTGACTGGTAGGATTTACTGAGACATTGGTCTTCTGAGAGAATCCCTAATGTCTCCTGTGTATTATTCAGATAGTGATCAGGGGCTTGGCATTCAGGAGATCTCAAGAGCTTTTTCACAGGACAGGAAATCCACAATGAGGTTTAGGTGGGTCCATAGCTGCCCTGAAGATGCAGAAACAAGAAGTATCTGTTATATCCATAGCTATAAATGAGATTAATGTGACTGCATCAGGAAAAATCCACAAAAAAAGGAAAAGCTACGGTAGAGCATTTGCGATGTCCTGAATCCAAATCCTAAATTTTAAAATCTACATACATTTGGGATCCACCGCATAATCACAAGGTGGGTAATATGCGTTCCCATGGCAGGTGGTGTAAACTGTATGGTTATATACATGTTTTCTGAATTAGGGATGGTCGAAAAAGGAAAATTACAAATTCATCCATTTCTAATTCTCCTACATTATTCTATATATATCTGCTTTTTATGCAAAAGAATCACATTGTATAGGTAACCAGATGATAATGATATATGAATTGCAGACTGTAAAGATTAATCATCAATTCGCCAAACATAGATTCAGGAGAATAACTCACAATTTGTCTGGTTTTAAAAATTATCACAAAAATATCTTTACTCTAATATTAATGTAACAGGTGAGCAAACTAAGATGTGTTTTATGTTTCAGTTCTGCTTAATTTGTAACACTGTGTACACACTGTTAGACCACAGAGTACAGTAGAAAATACCATCATCTTCAGCCTGCACATTGGTAATAGTCAGGACAGCTGATCCTCCAGATATAGATCCTGTGTATCGTGGTGAGGCTGGGTTATAATTTTGGTTGCCCGTACCATAACTCCCAACTACACCTTTGAGGACACTTCCAGGTGTCTGGTGGACCCAACCTGGATAGTTACCACTAGTTACTGTGCTTCCACTGAGCCTACAGGACAGACGGATGTTCACCCCAGGAGACACTGACATTGCAGCGTCCTGAATCACACTAATCTGAGCCATGGCATCTACAAAACAGAGAGAAGAGAATGTTAACAAGACATATCAACTGTATGAAATCTGAATCCACATTTGAATCTCTTACTTGTGAAATTACTGGCAAGAATAAGGAGCAGGACAACCCAACACATGATGAAATAGATTAGCCTCTCTAAGCAAGTGAGCTGTATTCGAGTCCTTAATACTCACTTTAAACCACTGCAGACAAAAGGAGTGGCCAACTATGTAAAACCGCTCATTATCATTATGCTTTTTTTTTTTTCATTACACCTCTCCAGAAGACATATGAAAACAAGAAAGTTCTCATAAGATGAGGTATTAATTGTTATGAAACCTTGAGCTAATGAAAATTGTATTTATTATAGTGCAATACATTGTAGCTGTTTTTTATAAAGCAAAGTGATGTAAAATTAGGGTTAAAGTGTATGCAAACAACAAAAAGAATCCAAAAATCAAAGATCTAATATATTGTAGCTTAAAAATCCTCAGTTGTGGTGACTGACCTTTTTTCAGTCATTTTTATTTTATTCTTACCCAAGACTCTACAAACGACAAATTTTCTCTGCAAGGGTAACAACGCTCACTCCCTGTATTGCAACTAAGAAGAAGTAGCGTTGTCAACCTAGGATAGGAAGTGTGTTAGGGCTAGAGAACACTTCCACCCTCTCCTCATTTCCATAACATGAAAAAGGTGTTCTGTAGTTTACAGATGTAAACAGTGCATGACTGATAACATTGTTTGATATAACACTGCAGGGGAGAGCACATGGCAGCAGTGCATTTTTGCCAAGATCAACAGGTTTTTGTTTTTCTTTGCACTTATTGAACAAATGTACCATGCTTGAAATGGCATATTGACAGACCAGAAGGCAGCAAATAAGATAAATTAATTATTAGGATCTACATATACTTTATACAATAAGTACTGGTTGTACTTATTGACATATATTAGTAGACATTATTAATATGGTGTTTTTTAAAAGTACAAATAATCACATTAGGTATATTGTTATTTTGTAATCAGTGAAAGAATGTAAGTAAACTATGGTCTTAGTAGATGACTTAATGCTCAATGTATGTAGAAGAAAATTGAATTGTTTTTCTTGCTCAGACTTTCTCAAATTATACATCTTTTAAAGAGAGACAGTAAGTCTGACATGTGCTGTCAAAGATATCTGATTTATTCTTAATTTTATAGACGTAGGTCAGAGGTCATCTCATGGGATAATATTGGAATTTTAAGGAAAAATCCAAAACTATTCCTAGTCCAACATTGCCCTCTTCAGGTAATTTGGAGTAAATTGGAGTAAGGTGATCTAGTTCCTGACATCATAATTAGTTTAAGATAAGCTTTCTTCCCATATTTTTGGGTGATAAAAGTTAAGAGAAAGTTAGGTCTGGACTGAAAAAAGGAAAGAATATAAAGGAGGATGTACATGGACACAGGAGGGAGAGATCTGAAGTTGATGGATGGGCTTCCAGGGGGAACGGAACCAAATAGGACCTGAACATCTCTTGTCCCCACACTGACACAAAGCTGACATCTTTTTGATAAGAGAACTTTACATTTTTGCTAAAGTATACATTTCTATTTCTCTGTAGGCAATTGACTAGCCATATACTGTATACCTAACTAAACCATTTGGTCATTGTAAGCATCAAGATTGAATTAGAGTAATTTTATCTGCAGTAAAAATCGTCTCCCTTTCAATCTTGGGAGAAATATTTATAGAATCTCCATGAAGCTGATTTCAGTTTCTAGTCAATGGTCTAGTTGCGATGTATACATAAAAATAAAATAACAGTGGAAGTTTGTCTTTACCTTAAATAGATTCTTGGCTGATTAGCCAGTCCTGTGCATAGTATTATGAGTTAGTTCGCGCGCAGTAGAAATTTGAGCTTTTGAACATCTGGTTGGCTCGGAGAGGTCACGAGTTGAATTTGCACATTATTTTGTCACATTGCGTTTAGTTACTGAGAAGCTACTAATTGCATTCCAGGAGTTACTTGGTTTTGTTGTATTAATATTTGGAATTTATATCCTGTGGTTTTATTATTATCTTGCTGATCAAAGTTATTGCAATTTTGATCCATATTCTTTATTGTCACCAGATATATTTTGATTATTATTCTGCACTGATTTTAGTTAATAAATATATATATTTTTGCACATTATTGTTTATATTTGGTCTTCAAGTTAGCGCAAATAAAGAACTCGAGTTATTAGTTGATTTGTGAAAATAAGTTGGGAATCTCCTTAATTACAGATCCTGGCCTGTGTTCATAAATAACAAACTCCTCCATTCACAGAACACCTTGTATTCTTTGAAAAAAAATGTTAAGTTAGTACTTTAAGATATGATTACACAGGATCACGCTACAGTCAGTTGTCACACCAAGAACTCGTGTCCTATATAAATTAAACTGCGGTGCAGGTCGATGGCTGAGTAGAAGTAGGAGATGGGAGGGCCTCTGATGGTGGAGATGGGGTCCCTGCATGTTGGCCCTCAGGATCACCCAACTAGGGAATGATCATGTAGAAACTGTACAATTGGACATCACTGAAGTGGAGGCAAGTTTAGTTTCACTTAAATCTCACCTGGCAAGATTTGGAGACATGACAAGGTCCCAGAAATACACATGGAAACATTTTAGGCCAGGCCAAGCTCACTAAAAAATTAATAGTTTAAGTACAGGAATATAAAGCAGTCTATTCAACATGAAAATATTAAATGTGCCTACTTTGCAATCAGCAGTGCATGCATAATCTGCAGTGCTAATTGCATTCATTAGGCATACAGGATGAATGTCAACACTGGCACGGATGACCAGAAGCTCTGAGGGCAATAAATCTACACTGCTAAGACAGGCTAAACAAATTCTCTTTACTGCACAGCCTGCAAAGGAGGGGATCTGTAACTATGGAAAACAATCCTAAAAACTTCTCCTGTGAGTTTGATTCTGTGCTCTCAGCTCCTGAGGCCTGTTGGGCCTGTTGGGAGTATTTTTTATGAACTGAATGGTGTCAGACATGGCCAGTTTTCTTTTGCTAAACGTAAACCAACCCCCTACCCTATTTACAGATTTACAGCATAGATACTAATGATCCCTCTTCTATGCAACTCTCCAGAGTTAACAATGTGTGCAAAGTGCAATTCAGGGATATATATTTATAAATATA